GGGACTTATCTTTTTTTCGTTTCGGTTCCAGGCGCGCGGCTACCCAGCCCGCAATGAGAATGGAGATCTGCATAAAGCTGTAGGAATGTCAGCAGCATCAGCGAGTAAACAGGGTAGCCACGACGACAATCCACTACAACTACCCCAAGCCGCTATCTAATGTTTTTGTGAACTGTTAATATCTCGATTTTTTGTGGGATTTTATGTTTTATACCGAAACCCGAGAAGGGAGAGGAGGGGGAACAGGAGCCGCAATCGAGAGCCGAGAGACATCAAAACTTGGTTCTGTCAGAGCGGGCGAAGTAGACGGATCGGTAGAAGATCAGAGAGTCCGGGCGGGGCTTCTGGCAACGCTTCGTCACGTCGAGCTGAGGGGACGTGGTCTTGATCGAAGCGGCGTCGGGGAAGGCGCTCGAGGAGCCTTCACGGCTACGAGCAGAGCTCGGCCTGTGGATGCAATGTGAGCGAAGGAATCGGAGTGCGGAGGACGAGAAAGGCGTACCGGAGTGGGCTTCGAGCGAACTGGACCTTCCCTTTCGCAGCAGTGGCACCCACGCCCATCTTCTCGACCTCCATCTTCTCCTTGACTACGACGGAACGCTCTCTTGGTTCCTCGAAAGCGTTCCGCCTCCGCGGCAACGGCCTTGCGTCCGCCTTGTGACGACGCGCAGAGACCGTCCCCTTGGATCCGTCCACCTCCTTGTCCTCGAAGACGCCCGCGCGAGGAAACCACTCCTCGACCATTGATGCAGGCGCCTTGAGAGAACCGGAGGACATCGCACCGTCGGAGAAACCGAACTCCTCCTGTGGGATACGCGGCGCCGGCGGGGGCACACGCATATCCTCACCGGCATCGTTGGCCTCGTAGGTAGCGCTGACCTCCAGGAGGGCCTCGACCTCAAGTTCGTCCTGATGAATCGTCAGCTTGGGCCATTACTACAGGTCAAGTGGAGGGGCGGGCATACCATCATCTCGAGCTTCTCCACCACGGCAACCTGTTGGAAGTGGGAGGGAAAGGGGAGGAAGGAGGCGGTAAGGTAGAAGTTCATGGTAGGAGGTAGGAGATAGAGGTAAGGAGGTAGGTAGTAAGGTATGCAAGGTAGGTAAAGAAGGATGATGACGGAAAGAACTCAAGAGCAGAATCCAAGAGTTAGAGAACGTGGTCAGAGAACGTTGGGCTTTTATACGCGGTGGAGACTTCGGGGCGGATATTCCAGCATCCACGATCACCCCGCTGGCGGACCGATGCGGATGTGTCGACCATTCTGAACGCGTCTCCTCGTAGCGCTTCTCGATGGCATGATACCATCTAGTAGACGGGTATGGCGAGCTCAACTCTGGTGCAGACAAATTTTCAGGCCGTGATTCTCGTATGGATAGTAGCAGGGTAGTCGTTACTGTCGCCATTTCGTCGCCATCCATGCCATATTATATCTTTTTCCTCGAATGTGGCGATATGTTGAGTTCATTGAGGGCCGCGTATACCATCTCCCCGGGTTTCACGATCACTGGAGCGGACGCGACGCGCACAGCTTCGGAGCCAGCGACCGTCGTACCCCATGTACCCTCGCCACACACTGAAAGCCTACGATTGCATATCAGCGTGAACCACCACGAGATGGCCGCCGGCGATGCTGAACGGGCATTCAAGGTTGTGATGATTTTACACTTCCTGCAGACAAAGGCATTCCTCCGATTCGCGGTAGAACATCAAACCGCGTTGACGCGCATTCCTCCTTGGATGTGCGATGAGATGCTTCGCGAGGGTGACTGCCCACGACTTCAGTACGGATTGGGTGTTCCCTTCGAACGGTTCCGCGCATACAGCATCCAACATGGGCTGCTCCCGCACGAGGCGGCAGAGGACGACTTATCGGTCGTTCTCTGCGTTGGGAAGATAGCCAATGATATCTCGAAGCGCTGCAAATTCAGGTTGTCACGAGATGATTGCGCATGATCGCTACACCGGTATGGTCGCCCTCTACTCGAACTTCAACAAGCATCTGCGCCATCGTTCGGAGCAGCAGGACGAGGAGGTCTTCAGATCCATCAAGACCGAGCTTGGACTTTCACCCGACTCGGAGGCACGTTCGATGATTGCAAGTGGGGCAGACAATAATCCATAGGAAATGTCTTGCCTGCCTACAGCTATTTTACGACAACAGTCGTGATAATTCTCATGTTTTCGGAGAGAAAGGTACTTGGAGCTCAAGCGAGCACCGAGCGAAGCTCGGTGCGCCGTCTTGGGCTCGAGGGAGACAATTGAAACTCCGACTCGTGACACGCTCCTCATCCCTCCGGACTCCCTCGTCAGTAGAGGCGCACCGCTAGCTGCATCAGTATATTAAGCACTTGCAAGTGAAAGCATGCCGCCTTGGGCTCTGCGCGACAACTCTTTCGACAAACCGCACTACCGGCTCAATCGAGCAGCCCTAGTAGAGCTCGCAGAGGCATTGGGCGTCGAGCCCGGAGGGAACGTACACGAACTCAAGGCACGGACAAAGCAGGCCCTGGTAGAGCGAAAGGACGAGCTCATCGACCACCCGTCCTACTCCGCCCTCTACACGGAGAAGGAGAAGAACGAATATCAACAGGGTCGTGCCCAGGGAACCGGAGACGAAGGCTCAGACTGGCAAGGCATAGTGGGCGATCAAGAACCCCGCCTCCCATCCGCCTCGGCGCGCTCGCAATCTCGTACGACCAGCCAGCGCACGACTCTCCGGGGGCGTAGGACACGCTCGGACGGTCGCGAAAGGGAGACGCATCACTCGGCACGGGCCAGAGCGGAATTACGACCGCTCCCGCCTCCAGCATCGTCAGGTGAGCGACGAGCCTTACTGAGTCCCATACCACCAGTATTCTCCTTTGCTTGCCTGGCCTTCTTGCCAGATGGATGATGCTTGCTTGCTTTCTCGCCGTCACCGGCTTTCACTATGGCTAAAAGCCAGTGCTATCGCCTTGCTTTCCTTCTTCCTTGCCCACACCGTGCTTGCTGTCGAAACGGGACTCACAAACAGTTCCAGGGCGTCAGAGCCACGACCAGGCACTCTCATCGTCGGAGTACGCCAGCCCCCCACCGGACGAGCCGGACGACCAGCCAAGCTCATCCCCTCCGGCCTCGCAGCGCCCACATCAATCCTTCGCGACCCCCCAGGCGTGGCCCTCTCGACAATCACAACGCATTGACGAAGCTGTCCCGTCCCATGCTCCCCTTACTCCTGTAACATCGCGGGGCCGACCGGCGCGTATCGCCGGAGTCCTCGCAGACGTGAATTATTATGTGCTTCCGCAACAAATTGTTGACATCTTCGAAAGAGGACATAAGAAACACGTACCGCTCCATCATCTCACAGACGCGGCGTGCATGGCTCAAGGTATCGACACGACAGCGAACCTGAACAACTTATGGCAGATCGAATCCGGGGGTCTAGTCCCGGTTCAGCAGCCGCTCTCGCCGGAAGGGGAGATGCAGCTCTCGTTCGCGGAGTGGTTGCAGGCCTGGCAACGATATCTCCAGCTGTTCGAAGAGTACCTTCCGCAGGAGTACCAAGATTGGTTTATCCACCACGAGAACATCCGCCTGCGCCGAGGAGTCAGCAGCGATAACATATGGCCGGTGTGGCTCGCCTACGACATCGAGATTCGCAGGCGCAGGCTCAACACTCCTATCGACCCGCGCGAGTACCACCGCGCTATATGGGACGACCTCTATATTGCTCATCTGGGGAGGAGGATACTCCAACCGCAGCCGCAACAGGCTCAGCTCGCATTGGCGAATCGCAGACGGGAATCCGGCGGGGGGACAACGACCGGGCGCGGGCCCCGAAGCTCCCTCCCGACGAAAGGCCGGGCCTCTGACCAGACCGGTAGTTCCTTTCGAAGCTGCTTCCTGTGCGGGCGTTACTCCCACCGGACGAAGGAGTGCTTCGCCAAGACGCTCGCGAACGGGAATCCGATTTTCATCGCGAGAACTCAAGACGGGGGCTACGCGGACAAAACGGGGAAGCGCTACTGCTTCCACTTCAACATGCAAAGGGGATGCTCCGCCTCGGGCACATGCGCACATGGGGAGCACCGCTGCACGCTTTGCGGAGACTCCCATTCCGCCAGCCTCTGCGTCATCGCTAGCGCTGGCCGTGACGACCCGGCCGTTCAAAGCAGATGAATGGGAATCGCGCTTGTCTTCAACAGGCCTGTTAGATATCTTCTTGGACGTGCCGCGAGGCATGAGACTCGGGTTCGATATGGGTGTCCCCACCCTCGTACAAACCACTTACATTCCACCTAATCACAAGTCAGCATTGTCAAATACGGACGCCATAGACCTATACATCCAAAAAGAACGCGCAGCCCGTCGGTATACCGGGCCCTTTGATCGCGCGAGGCTGGAGAACCTCATCGGCCCGTTCAGGACCTCACCGCTGGGCGCGGTACCGAAGGCCGGGACCTCGGAGTTGCGGATGATTCAAGATTTCTCCTTCCCGCGCAGCAACCCGGCCATCGCTTCCGTAAACTCGGCCATCGATTCGGACGCCTTCCCGTGCGAGTGGGGCACGTTTTCGGAAATGGTGGTGCTCGTCATGGACGCCCCTCCGCTCACGCAAGTGGCCACGCTTGACGTCGATTCGGCCTTTCGCTGCATCCCAATACGGCCCGACCAACAACCGCACTTCGTAGTCCAATGGAAGGGGCAATTCTGGATTGATTCCTGTGCACCTTTCGGACCAGCGAGTTCGCCGGGCGTGTGGGGCAGGGTGGCGGACTGTATGGCAGCGCTATACCTGAAATCCGGAGTAGATGCGCTCAAGAAGTGGGTGGACGATTTCGCCTTCGTCCGCTACCCCACCCGCGAGAGCACGCACGGATCGCCCAGGTACGCATACGGCCTGGACGAGATCTACCGGCTAGCCGAGCAGCTGGGCTGGCCGTGGAAACCGTCGAAGACCAAGGACTTCGCGTCGATATTCCGTTACCTCGGTTTCCTGTGGGATCTCGAACGCAAATGGGTCTCGATCCCGGACGACAAGAGGGCCCGCTACCTGACCAAACTCGAGCCGTGGACCGCGGGCAGCACTTTCATGCGGCGCGAAGCAGAACAGATCACCGGGACCCTCGTACACTGCAGTCTGGCAATCCCGGAAGGACGCTCGAGACTCGTCGCCATATCAAGGTTCGCGTCGTCATTCCCACCGGCTGCTTCGGTGTTCGCCCGGCGGACCCCGGGCAGTCAAGTTCTCACCGACATCTCCTTTTGGAGAACCGCGCTATCGACGGGCCCATGTGGAAGCTCTCTGCAGCGCCCGCCCGAGATTACAGAGAGCGAGTTCTGGGTGGACGCCTCTACCTCGTGGGGTATAGGCGTCGTATTGAACGGCGAATGGGACGCCTGGAAACTCGCGCCGGGCTGGAGGTCGGAGGCGCGGAAAATCGGCTGGGCCGAGATGGTCGCAATCGAGTTCGGCCTCCGCCTCGCCCTGCAGCGAGGCCTGAACGGCCTCCATCTAATCATCCGGTCGGATAACCAGAGCGTCATAGGCGCGCTAGAGGCCGGGAAATCCCGCAACCTGGAGCACAACCGTGTTTTGCAGCGGATTGTGACCTTAATGCGGGCACATTCCATATGGATTACCCCCCGATACGTCCCGTCGGCGGAGAACAAGGCAGATCCCCCTTCGCGGGGCATTCCTCTCACAGATATGCCGCGCTCATCGATCACCTTCAAAATTCCTTACTGTATTTCCTCGTTAATAGTTAGACCAGAGTTAATATAACTGTTTCGGCCTTGATTTAAGGGGCCAGCACAGAATAGAAGGCGCGAGGCGGGACCTCCCTCTTCCTCCAGACAGACGGAATTCTCCCCCCCTCTTCTCTCATTACGTTACAATTTTACGCAATAATGCGCAGCACCGCTAGACGTCGGCTAGCAACAGCTCAAGGAAAACACAACGGCGACCTGCGCCTCCTCCTTCTCCTCACCGCCCACTGCCATGTATCGCACAAGTGCGTTGTCATCTTCTCTAAGGCGTTTCACCCTCACATGCGATTGCTAATTTTCCCCCTCTCGTCACAGGCCATCGGGTTGTCGAGGAGATGTGCTCACTCAGGAGGTCCCAAGAACGGGAAATGATTGTAAAAATCGAATTTGAGCGCTCGATTGCTTATGAAGATGGGTCGGAAGCGGCTCAGTACAGAGGTACCTCACTCCTTAGCCATACAGATGAGGACTCACAACGTTTAGCGTACACATCCTCACAGAGGTTCCAGACATTGGTGGAAGGATATACCAGAGGTCGAGGCACCTGCGCCCACTGGTTTGGGGGTGAGGGCCCCGGGGTGGTGGCAGGCAACTGCGTGTGCGGTCGCTTCATCCAAGATATTAAAGCTCCTCCCCCCAACCCTGGACCCAAAAAGTCCATATGGCTCTGTGTGAAGGCAGTTTGCAACTCCGTTTACTTGTATCTCAAGAAGGCATAGAGTACCTTAGTCTCGAGGCAGATATGGTCACACCGTTCTCAGGCACAGCCTCACCCGGGCTGACCAGGGGGCACCCGCACCCTTCTGCCCCCAGCATGTCGCACACGAGAGCGAGTAGAGCACCGCGCAACTACACTCAGAACACGCCACCGTCAGCGCACATCTCTGGGCCCCCAAAGACCCCCACCCGCAGACACGCCTTAGCTCACTTCCGCCCGGGGGCGGGCCTGGCTACCACAACGCTCTATCATAACCCTCGCCAGATCACCTTGTCGAAACCAACTCGGGTCCAACTCGAGAAGACTATTAAGGCGGGCTGGGCATCGAGCACCTTGAGGGGCTACAGCGCAGTAGTAGAGAGGTATATCAGGTTCTGCATCGCAGAGCGCATTCCAGAGGTCGACCAATTCCCGGCGCAGGAAATAGCGCTATGCGCATTTGTCGCCAAAGGCGCCGGCCAACTCGCAGGGGGCACCGCTCGGAACTGGATAGCGGCGCTGAAAGCCTGGCATACCGCCCAGAACGCACCTTGGCTCGGCGGGACACGACTCCAATACACGGTCAAGGGCGTGGAGAACCTCCGACCTAAGGGTTCCCGGAAACCGGCGCGTGTACCAGTAACCCGCGATATGCTGCGCTGTCTGCACAAATCACTGAACTTCGACTCTCCATTTGATTCAGCAGTGTATGCGGCCGCCTGCGTTCTGTTCTGGGGTCAGCTCCGAGCAGGCGAAGTGCTCCCGTCGTCGCAGAACACGGGTCTCATCCGGACCCCAGAACGCTCCGCATTCCACAAACCTTCCACCCATTCGAAGTCTTACGCGTTAACTCTACCATCGACCAAGACGCAGTACAACCGGGGAGAAGTCGTCTACCTTCAGCACCAACGCGGCTCCACGGACCCGATATACGCCCTGCGGTTCCACCTCCAGAGGAGCCGCCTCCCAGTCGAAGCCCCGCTCTTCGCGTACACACATCCGAAAGGCCCAAGGGCACTCACGAAGACGGCGTTCATGGCGCGCTGCAACGCAATCTGGTCAAGAAACCGGTACCCTCGTATAACGGGGCACTGCTTCCGGATAGGCGGGACGACGGAGCTCCTGCTAGCGGGTGTTCCACCGCATGTCGTCAAGACGGCAGGGAGGTGGTCATCGGACGCATTTCTGCGGTATTGGAGGTCGATCGAGGATATTCTCCCCCAGCACATGCGACGCGTCCGGCCGTTCAGGCGCCCTCAAACACAACCATAACCTTCTCGCCGGGGTGGGCTCATCCTCGGTCTTCCCCCTTCGGCTGGTGCGGCGGTTTGGGTGAGCCTCCGGGCTCTCCCTCGGATCGCGCCCAAGGACGGTCGGCCCCTGGGGGCCACCTGTCTTTCACCCAAACCTACGGGAGATGCGTGTGTAGGTGCTCCTATCATACAACCTTTGTATCGTACGACGAACCAAGAAGCGAGCACCGAGCGAAGCTCGGTGCGCCGTCTTGGGCTCGAGGGAGACAATTGAAACTCCGACTCGTGACACGCTCCTCATCCCTCCGGACTCCCTCGTCAGTAGAGGCGCACCGCTAGCTGCATCAGCACCCGCCCACCCGCGTCCTGTAGGCATCTGCCAAGCTCACTAACATCATCGCATCCCCTATCAGCGAGCCGCGGGTGAGCCTCCGGGCTCTCCCTCGGATCGCGCCCAAGGACGGTCGGCCCCTGGGGGCCACCTGTCTTTCACCCAAACCTACGGGAGATGCGTGTGTAGGTGCTCCTATCATACAACCTTTGTATCGTACGACGAACCAAGAACACCAACCACTAATCACGTGCACGTGAGTCGCGACGTCTTCCTTCCGTATCTTTCGTTCCTTCAGCCCTGCGACATATAGCCCCGCGTTTCGATTTGAGACACGATGACGACAGGGTCCGATTCACAACAACTCTCCGATGCTGAACGTGTTTGCAAGGTACCGTCCTTTCCAGCACGTTCGGCGCATGTTTGACGAGGCGCATCCCAGAAATCATTCCTCGCATTCGCAGTGGAACATCGGAGAGCAGTTAAGCGTCTCCCACCATGGATGTACGACGAGTACCTCCGCAGGGAAGACTGTCCACTGTTTCATTACGGACTAGGTGTATCCCTCGACAGGTTTCGCGCTTATGGAATCAAGCACAAGCTGTTCAACTCCAAGGATGCACAAGACGACGTGCGTGTCGTATGCCATGTGCGACGGATGGTCGACCTTATTGCCAAACGTGGCAATGCCAAGCCGCTACGATATACTATCATCCATCATTATCATTTCACCCGCATGATCGCCTTCTACACGAATTTCAACAAGTACGAGTCGCCTTTGACACCGGACGAGGTGGCAAGAATTGTGGCGTTCATCAAGGCTGAGCTCGATCTGCCATCGGACTCAGAGGCCCTCTGGTACTGGGATTGCGAGAATCCCTCTACCGCGACGTCTGACACTGTAAGCCCCGGCCTTCACAAGGCGAACCGATCGTAATTTTCTGACCTCAAACATGTATAAAACAGCTGACGAACCCTAAAATTCCTAAGGCCGTTAAACTACATATGCAAGTGACACAGACTGAGAACGAAGATCAACAACCTGTATTCGAGGACGTGGACCTGGAGATACGGGCAAGGTACGTGTCCTACGCCACCAAGCGCAAAGGCGCGCGGCGAGTCTAGCTTCTCCAGCTCCTTTCGTCTATGTTTTAGTCGCGTACCCATTGTTCACTGTCGTCGCCGTCCTGTCATGCTGCCAGATTATAATCCAAACTGTTCGGCGCATATGCAAATATGCGATACCATTTCAGCCATTACATCGTTGACGTGCGAAGGCTAGTTACGGCTATGGCCCCTCTCAGGATCAGATGGGGTCCTATTGTACTCGTTCTTACACGCCTTTACTCGACTTCCTACATATCGTCAACGTCGGGAGTCATCTCAATGCGCCCCGTTCGGTGGTCTTCCGTCTGAATGATGATCTTACACGACACACGTCCTCCGAAGCACCACCGGTACGGCTTCTTTCTTCGTCGCATTCTGTTTGAGTGCACCTACTGCTACGTTTCTACCTCCCGAGCATGACTCATGAGCCGAAGTTCATAATCAGAGTATCCTACCACGCACTCGTATATCGTCGGAGGGTTCTCCTTTCCACCTGCGTGTCGTCCTTCAACGAACAGAATGTTCCGGAGAACTCTGAATGGAACGGCTCAGTGGCAACCACCCAGTGTAAGGCGCCCAGAAAGGGAGCCGTGAGACAAAGATTAGGCTGGTCGATGTTGCTGAAGATGGCTGTAGAAAATAGATGGGATCGCATGCAATACGGGTCGCCCTTTCTCAATGGAACTCTGACCAGTGACCAACGGGGATGGAGTGATCTTGAATCATCGGTTCTAATCAAGGTTCCTGAAAGAGGGCCGTGGTCAGCGTTTGACTGTACCGATCACTGCAAGAGGTCGTGGTTGAAGTTCAATGCTCAACGGGAGCACGGCTACTTCGCCACCGTCGCCACCTCGGCCGACAGGAAGCGGTCCACGGACGACCCTATCGACCAGTCCACAGGAGAAGACGAAGAGATGGCCGACGTCGATAACCGTGTAACATATGGAGGTCCGCCTTCCTCAACAGAGCAGAGAAGGAGAGCGAATTTCTCTTCCACAAACTGTCGCGCTTGTTTGGCGGCGAGTTCCCTTGTTCGTCGCACGCCTACATCTCGGAGGCCTGACTGGAGAGCCACGTCTTCCACATTCCGAACCATCCTTCGACCAAGGTAGCGCGGCCTGGGTTATATGCTTAGCTCGGACTGTCGTTCGCAATTATATCCGCTCTGTTGCATCTATGTTATCTCTTTTGTTCTCAAGTAATGGCGTACGCAAGAAAGTCATCGCGTACATACAATCTTTGGCATGGTATTATCACTTTACGAAGCCGAAATCATTCTCAGTATCTGTCCCTCCGTCACCTCCCTAATCCTCCTCATCGCCATCCTGCTCCTTGCCACTATCATCCTCCTCATTGCTTTCATCCTCCTCATCGCTTTCATCCTCCTCATCGCTATCAGAACCATCCTCGTCCGAATCGCTATCATCACCATTCTCGCTGCCTTCCCAGGTGCCGATGACACCGTTATGCTGCTGCCCTCCATTGTCAAGCCTGCGTTTCCTTCCGCGTGTCTCATGAATACGCGGCGGGATCTGCGAATCTTCGTCGGTGGATGCCTCGTAGTCAGGATCCCCCCGGTCCGAGCGACTCAATGAGCGGTGATTGATAGCAGCGATCAACTCGTCTACGGCGGTTTGCAGCTCCTCTAGCTCTTCGGTCAGAATTTCTTGGGCGAGTTTCTGAGTGAAAAACAATGAGCACGAGCTTATTGACTTATGATCCTCTCATACCTGAATATCAGGCGACGGATCACCCTCGGCTTTCTTGTCATCCGGCAGCTTGAAGAACGAGTTCGAGAACTCGAGGTGCAAGGATGGATCAGAACTTGCCCGATGCAATGCAGCTAGGAAAGGATAACTGAATTGGAGAGACAAAGGCGAATCCGGGTTTCCGAAGATTGTCTGAAGAAAGTAGAGAGGTTCGCATCGAAGACGCTTCGCTAGAGCTAGATCTTGAACAATATCTCGATGAGACGTACGCCTGATACGTTTTGCAGGCGCAGACGCGACCCGCATGAAGTTGAGCAAGCTGAAGTGCAGCCCCGAACGCAGAAAGATGTAGCAGCTGTCGATTTCGTAGATCCTCATGACCATGTCAGCCTGCTCCCTGAGCTGTGGCATCAGGCCTTGTATCACCAAGCCGGCGGATCCGCGCGCCTGTGGATCCGACCAGTTGTGCCGAGTGGACGTCGCCTTGCATTCCCAGAGGAACACAGGCGCCTTGGTGGAAGTCTCAGCATCAGGCGAGTCTCGAGACAAGACAAAGGCTGCAAAGTCCGGGATACACACCCGCGGAGGTGAGCGCCGCGATACATTGCCCTTCTTCATCCTCTTCTTCTTCCCCTTCCTTTTCTTCGTCTTCTTTGCCTCCGGGCTTTCCTGCCTCCCATTTGATCCCCCGTCATGCGTAGTCCCCTCCTTCTTCGCCGTCTCCTTGTCCGCAACTCCCTCGCCCGTCGCCCCCTCCTTTTCCCCCGCCTTTGATGAACCCGCCTCCGCCTCTAGCACGGGTTTGACTTTCGTCCATTTGGGCTCTACCAGTCTATATTGAGGGAAGATTTGCAGGGTTCCCTTGTGCTCGCCAAGGACGCGGCTCGACGAAGCCCAGGTGTAGAGGATACGTCCGACGAAGGCGTAGCCGGCATGCTCGCTCTCTTGCGCACAAATAACGGCTTCAGAAAGCTCCTCCATGTAAGTCTATTGGACGATGATCAGATAAATTATGTTATGATATAAAGACGAATATCAGGACTAACCTTCGACTTGACGGTGATTGATGTGTCCGGCTCAATCCCTTCCGACTTCACGGTAATTGTCATGAGAGCGTATAATAGAGTGGGTGTGATGTGCAATGTCTTGGTGTTGATCTCCTCCTTCTGATGCTAGTGTTTATATACGCAGGCAGTAATCCCCGGCCATGGGGACGCCGCGCAATAGGGCCGTGTAAGGCCACGGACTCATCCTGGGCCAACGCGCTACGTTGGCCGGATATACATCATGAAGCTGTCGCCACATGGCCGGTGGTCTATGAGCGTAAGCTCCACGGCATAGTGGCTTCAATGACGAACTGCTGCCAATCGGGCCTGCATTCCATGGCCAGTTCACCGTGAGCGACAAAATACATGTGTAACAAATCACTGCAATCACTACTGCCGTTTTCTTGAGGCCGCTCTCATGTCCCTGTAAGACGAATGAGGGAAACAATGTGTTGAATAGCTTCAGGTATTACTTGTTGATCCGGAAGTACACCGAAGTCTTCTAGTCCGCGCTGTAGCATATGCGATGTTGCCGATGTAACGGGAGCATAATGAAAGGTGGGTCCGTGGTCGCGGCGGAGGGCCACTACGTTCTGCACGTGATCGCGATGGTTTGTACATATATGGGTCTTGAACGCGTCTTTGTGCAGACTCTAAATTCCTTGCTCCTCCTACCGCACGTCTCTCTCCGCTGAGTCCACTCGAAAATGATGTTTCCCCTTGGAAATACGGAAGAATACGAGGTAAGTCAGTTCTGATTTCACTTCCGCCTGTTCAACGCTGATTCAGTATGGGACGACAGAAAGCATGGTACAAACATGCCCGAAAACACCGCAGGGCTTTGTTGCAGCTCCCTGGATGGATGACGGGCGAACATGTTCATCCTGGTGACTGTCCACTGTTTCACTACGGTGTGGCAGCACCGTTCGAAAGACTTCGGGCCTACGCCGTCCACAAAGGTTTCATGAAAGCAGATGCGGACGACATCGCCCTGTATTCCTGCACCAAACGCATCACCCGCAGTTTGATGATTGCTAGCGACGCGACTCTTCACTTCGCTTGCACAGTGCACCCCGTTCATGACTACGTTATTGCGCTCCACACCAACGTCACCGCGTACCGCGAGAAACTAGTTGATACGGACGAAGAGGAAGTGGTGGAAATCATCAAGCGCGAACTCGGATTAGACCCGAATACAACCGCTCGATGGTACTGGGATCTCGAGACTCCAAAATCGGCCAGAGTTGACGCGGTACGTTTCCATGTACGGTTGCGAACTTCGTTCTCACTTTTTTGTCGTTTGTGTGGCACAGGTCGAAGCGCCGTCCAAAAGGAAAACATCCCATAATACGCCAGCAGCCGAAGGATGCACCGCGCAGCGTATGGCATCGGGAGTCCGATTTGCTATAGCTGCCCATTAGCTGACGTCTTTTCGGGATCTCTCACCTCATGTCACGCACGGGATTTTCACCCATGTTCATAAACTTTTTATTTGTTGTTACCTTGTTGCATGCCTACAATGTATTTCGCAGTCAACGGCTCCTCTTCCGCTATGTCTCGAGTATATCTCGATTCGGTTTGATTCATGATGGCTGCTCCCTTCAAAACGTGAGACACCATACTTAGCTTTGGATTACAAAACAAGATCATCGCAGTCAGAGCATTCTAACATGAACGTTTGAAACGAGCTGTCCAATTTGGAGTCAGGTTTCCCGCGTGGTATATTGTCCGAATACGTGTATACACGAGAACAAAGTATCGGAATTCACATCTGATGTCGTCAAAGGGCGAGGGCCTATGCATCAAGAGTTATATTGAAGCTCGCTGCTGTCTCCTGCAAAATCTCCTCAAACGGCTCGTTGGAGCGTACGACGATTTGTTAAACAGATGCGCTATGGATATATAAATCATCAGCGAGAGTCTGAGACATACCTCCATGTCACACGACGACTCGGCGAGCTCGCGGGTGATGTAGAGCCCGTAAAGGTTCCTCTGGCCCCCTGATGGAATACGGAGAGCCCAACGCGAGCATTCTCCTCGTCAAAGATGAGACGGCGGGCACAACCACGGAGGGAGGAAGTTATAGGTCGACAGATTATTGGTTCGCGTAGGATATAGCGCAACTTGAATCCGGCGACGTACCTCAGTCTACAACATGAAGTCGGCGGACAACAAACACAGCGAGTGCTCGTCTGGCGCCGCAATGGGGTTCGAAGCAACCAGGACTTATCTGTTCTTCGTTGAGGTCTCAAGCATGTGACCACCAAGACGCCATGAAACTCGGAATTGTAGTAAGTAGTGGGAGAGGAGAAGTACATGTCTGTGAAAGGCTTCAGTAAATGTTCGTCCGACCGCGCGATTGGATTCGAAGGAACTGGAACTTATTTTTTTTCCGTTTCGGTGCTAGGCGTGCGGCCACCAAGCCGCAACGAGGATATCTTCTGCCGAAGCTGCACGAGAACTGAGGGGTCGGCGATCGCCTCGGAGAACGAGCACCTGTGGAAGGTTTCAGCACAGGTGATCGACTGACGCCGCGATGAAATATGAAGGAAGTGATACTTACTTTTTTTCGTTTCCGGTCCAAACCGCGAAAAGGATCTCTTCTCCCACATCTGTACGAGAACTGAAATCGGCGATCGCCTTGAAGAAGGAGAACCTGTCGAAGATTTCAGCAAATGCTCATGAGGCGTCGCAATGCAATCGGTTATCCGAGGGAATTGGGACTTATCTTTTTTTCGTTTCGGTTCCAGGCGCGCGGCTACCCAGCCGCAATGAGAATGGAGATCTGCATAAAGCTGTAGGAATGTCAGCAGCATCAGCGAGTAAACAGGGTAGCCACGACGACAATCCACTACAACTACCCCAAGCCGCTATCTAATGTTTTTGTGAACTGTTAATATCTCGATTTTTTGTGGGATTTTATGTTTTATACCGAAACCCGAGAAGGGAGAGGAGGGGGAACAGGAGCCGCAATCGAGAGCCGAGAGACATCAAAACTTGGTCTGTCAGAGCGGG